TATCTTTGAGGTGGAGAAAGATATAGTATACACACTTTAAGCATTTTCCATCTCGTTAGAAAAAACAATACTCAGATATGTCTTTCTTGGTTTAATGTCATTAGATCTTTACTCATCTAACCTCTTATTTTGTATTTTGATAACCAGAGAAAAATATTCTGATATCTATATTTGCCTATAAGGAATAAATGTGCTCAAATTTTGGTATTTTGGTTACTTTTGATCTCTGCAAAAGTGAATTTTTGATGGCATACCCATGGTATGGTTAGTATTACTTAGCTATAGCAAGATATTTTGCTGATTATGCATATATATATATATATATACATGTATATATATGCATATATAGATTAAGAAATTATTATAAGTTAAGAAATAAGTGAAGTTTTCCTTAATTTCGGTGTACTATATATTTCATTTAGTATGAATCCATCTGTTAGGTTTCTTATGCCTGAGATACTGGTTGTACCTAAGCATTTGCAGGGTAAAGCCAAAAACACCAGTGAATTTTCGGTTGCAGCACTATTACTTCTAAATATGTCCTTACAGAATTCTGTAGGATATGTGACAGAGTTAAATCAATTGAAAGTTAGGAAATGATTACTTTTACCTTATGTTTTTGTTGGGAGTCTAGGATGCTATGGTTGACAGGCTGACAAAATGTCACAAATTTTTCACTCTCCCTTGTATGTACCCCCTCTGTAATATGAATTTGTAATGATTCCCATTAGGAGGTGGAATCTGTTTCCCACACAAGAATGCCGGTTGACTTCTTCATACGTTTTGGCCAAAGAAATGCTCTAGAATTGATGGTGTGGAATTCTAAGCTTAGAACTCAATAGGCCCTTCATGCTTCAATTCTCTGTCCTGGAATCTTTATTGCCACAGTACAGGCCCACCCTGGCTTGCTAGAGGTGCACAGGCCACACAGAATAGGTCACCTTTTTTATATCTGTGACATTTCTCCATAATGAGAATACAAGTTATACTTCAAGTAAAAATCACTATTTTTTGTCCCTTATGACATATTTCCTCTAGCATATTGTGTAGTTATAAAGTTTTGAAATCTATACAACCAGGGACATGCTTTCATCATTTTTAGTAATACTGAGTTATTCTGTGCCTTATTATTTTATACTTGCAAGATAGGTTTACTCCTTTTCCAATACACATGCAAAAATATTGATCAACATTGATTGATTTAACCTGTAAACAAATATTTTCTTCCTGATTCTATACAAAGCAATAATTTCTATGGAACATGGAAACAATGACCCTGAGAATTTTAACTAAGAGAGCATCCATAAGGTTTTTTCTAATTTAGTTTGAGGTTGAAGGTTGAAGAATCCTACTGGAGTTGTGATAATGATGCACTAGGAAAGGTGAAGTTGCTCATAAATTTTATTATACTAAGATCAAAATTAAGATATTTTGAACTGACAATGTCTCACTATCTAATATTGTGTGTAAAATAAAATCAAAAGCAAAAAGATGACTATTCAGCTCCTAAGGTGTCCATGTTTATCAGAAATAACAGTTAATATGGGATTACGTATCTGCTGTGATGAAAGAATTATGAAGGGCTCAATTTTTCTGTGGGCTGATATTTCATACTACAGCGCATGGCAACTCACTAAAATCCAAATCTGCTTAAGGTGTTCCTGAACTTGGGAGGAAGTTCACATGAAGCTGACTAATCCCACTCTATTTGAATAGCATAGCTTCTTCTGCTTTGTACTTTGTTATGAACTCTTTGGCTTAACCATAGGAAGCTGAAGTAGTGGAAATCCAGAAAGCACAAGTGTAATTAAGGAGCCCTACCCCTCAATTTATCAAAAGGAAAAATGAACGACATATATTACAAATATTTGGGAAAACACAAATTACTGTGAATTCTAATTGTTACTGGACAGCATTTTAAAAACAAAAATTGAAAACTAAAAAGCTTATGAAAATGAACTCAGTACTGATGAAAATTTCATTTGAAAATCTCTTCCTCCCTCTCTCAAAAGACAGCCTGTTATAAACTGAATGTTTTAATAACAGCATTTTCACATCTTTTCTGAAACAAACAAACAAACAAACAAGAAAATAGCATGTGGTTATAGTTTAAAGTAAAGAAAAAGGATCTTATTTTAAAAAAACACATAACATCATGTTATTTTCTACAAATAAATCTGCCTGATTTAAATCAGTGTGAAAGAGCCAGTCCCCAAAGGTAGTAAGCAGAAATTTTTGAAATGTTTACATCAGAAAGTGTCACCAACAGTTGCTTAAACACACATCTTTCATGTGAATAAGAGAAGAAAAGACTTGTGTACATGGACTGCCATTTTTAGCTCTATTTCCAACTACCATATAGGTAACTTCATTAGAGAGTCAGAATGGGCATCTTATGAATTGTCCACTTGGCGAAACAGTTAGCATTAATGATAATTACAAGAATCTCAAAGGCTATAAAATTAATATTGTGTGTTTGAAGAGTCTAAAAGATTAGAAGAGGGACACAAATTATGCTTTTTTATTTTCTACAAAAGCAGAATCAAACAAAAACCATACTCATTTTCTCTGCTGACAGGGCTTAATAATTTAGCAAGATTAATGTGATGAAGTCCTTGCTTCAGAAAAGAGAAAGAAATAACAGAAGCATATTGGAATTATGTAAGGGAAAGGTTGAAAACAAGGTAGGAAATTAGTTTGAATCAAAGTTTTAGCAGGTTTTTTTTTCTGCTAAATATCACATTTACACTCTGCAGAGTCTAAACAATTAAATATTAGCATCTTTATAAAACCACAACACTTGATTTTCTGCTTCAAGTCTACAGTCAGAGAAAACTTCTGATGAAAAGATAATTAAAATAAAATTACATATAAACACATATGTATATACTTCTTAAGAATCTTTGATCTAACATGAAAAAATATATATCTGCAGAGACTAATATAAAGATTAAATCAGAAACCCTGACAAGTAATTTCCAAAGCCAGCTTTCAATATGAAAACTTCCCGCAATTCTTAGAAACCTTGCGCTTCCCTTTTGACTGCTTCATGAGGAGCAAAGTAGAAAGCATAATCAAAACCCTTCTCCCCATAAAATGAGAAATAAAACTCATAAAGAAAGTGATTCTGAAAGGAAATCTTGTCCTTAGTGCTGTCTGAAGAGGAAAGAAAAAGAATTCATAACAAGTTAGTCCTCATCATAGATCTGACATGTGAATCCATGCTATTTGTTGGATTAAAAGCCTAAGGCAGAGCATTTAGCTTAAAGGTGGCCCTGGGTTGAGAGCCTCCTTGCCCCCTGCCGGAGATTGATAAAAGCCAATACTTTAAGAACAGAATTCCAAATCTAGCCTTAAAGAATTCCCATCGACAATATTCCACATGTGTGAGATCATACTCAAAAACAAAAACACCTAAGTAAAATAGGATTTCATATGTGAAAACAAGCAGACACAACAGGAGTACAATCAGAATCACAAAATTAGAAGTTTGGCTGGAACATTAGAAAAGGAAAGAAGAGATTATTAAATCTGTAAAACACTCTAATGGAATTTATTAACACAAAGGTTATAAAAATTAAAAGTATAAAAAGAGATTAATTTAAAATGAGTCACGCACGCAGGTTAATGCAATGAATCGGATATAGATTTAAAGAAGTGGCATTGAGAAACTATGAAATGATTTGAAAAACAAGGGACATAAAGGATAGAGAAAAAAGGAAGAGGTTCCATTAAAGGAGATAAGAGAAAAAAGGAAGAGGTTCCATTAAAGGAGATAATGACTGAGTAGCTCCAGAATTGCTGAAAAATATCTATCCTCAGATTCATGAAGGCCAAGAAATCTAAAGTGTGATATATAAAAAAAATGTACTGGGGTGCCTGAGTGGCTCAGTTGGTTAAATGTCAGACTTGGGCTCAGGTCATGATCTCAGGGTCCTGGTATCATGCCCCGAATTGGGATCCCCACTCAGTGGGAAGTCTGCTTGACCTTTTGCCCCTCTGTCCCCTCACTCCTGCTCGCTCTCTTTTTCACTCTCTTTCTTTCTTTCAAATAAATAAACAAAATGTGTTTTAAAAATACCCTGTTCCTAGACACATCATAACTAGCTTCAGCGACCACCAAAGATCAAGAGAAGATTTTAAAAGCAGCCAAGGTAAAATAGCAAATTACACACACGGTATAGCAATGAGGTAGACAGTTGACTTTCCATTAATAAATAGAATCCAGAAAAAAATGGAATAAAGTCTTAAATGGTGTCAGAAAAATTACTGACAATCTAGATTCACAGTCCAGGGATATTAATTTTCTAGAATGAGAACAAAATACAAATACTTTCAGTCAAAAAAAAAAAAAGAAAAGAAATAGCATCCACTAAAGGAAAATTTAAAGAATATTCTTCAAGCAGAGAGATAAGATGGAAGTTCTGATAAGAAGGAATGGTGAAAAATAAGCAATTAATATGTGAGTAAATCTGACATAATATTAGTTTATAATACAATAATAATTTCAACTTTAGAATAATAGAGCAGAAATATGTTCAACACTAACACAAAAATCTGAATGGCTCACGAGAATTAAAATATTCTAATATACTTGTATGTTGGGAGGGAGTTAAAGATACTAACATGCCTGTGTGTGTGCATGCATGTGTGTATGCACACTCTGGAAGATATCTTAGTTATATTAGTGTATTTTAATTTTGTTCTATGATCTGGTTTTTCTTCTAGCAATAATATATTTTCAAGTTTAAATCAAAACATCACATTAATGCTTTGATAAATTCAGAAATTTCCAATAAACACTCTCTAGACTTTGCAGTGAAAGTAGCAGTACTGAAAAAAACAGAAATTGCTTACATAAAATTAATGAACAAATATCTTCAATTTGGGCATGACTAGTTACCCCAAAACAATTTGATTTTATGAAATACCTTTGATAATATATAAACAATTTGTATTTCCTCTGAATTCTACTGTGAATGACAGATAGCCAATCTCACCTTAAGAAAGAAGCTGTCATAATCTGTCCTGTACAGAAAATGTTGATACACTGGAAAAAAGAAAGTCCAGTATTACTAATACAATCTTTTAGTTTATTATTATTAAAAGTAAAATAAAAAATATTCTAGACAATTTGTTATTTCCCATGCAGTTGCATTATGTTCATAGTCAAATGTTTGAAGCATATATTATATAATATAAAGGTATATATATATATATATGTATAATATATATATATCTTTTAACATTACCATTGACTTTTTTGTGGTAGTAAATAATTTAGATATATTTTATAGTATTCCACTTCAGCACAGGATTATTTGCCTTTTGGAAGTAACTTCAGTCCATATTACTTAGCTTTGCTTCACCTATGAAGTGCATAGACTAGTTTGTTACAAAGGTCTATTTCTAATTTTTCCATCATATATAAAGGTTGACAACATTCAAAAATTGTGTCTGCTACTAAATTATAAACTCATTGGCTGGACCACAGTTTGCTACTGCAAGCTGGCCACACCATATAACAAGGATATTCAAAAGAAAACCGCAGCTATAAGAAAATGAGTACATGGAGAAAAGTCTTTAAAGATAATAGTCTTTAAAGTCATGTGGGTATTCTTTGAGCAAAGATAGTTTGAGGAACAAATATGTCGTTATTTCGCATTACTTTCCTTGACTATACTTAAAAGTACTATTTATATATATATATTTTAAAAAATCAGTGCATCTCTGGGTTATTTAGTTACTTCCAAGGAGACAATAATGTTTTTTTCTGGAGTTTGAAAATTCATATGCTCTTAAAACACAAATTCCTCTGTCTCCCCTGATATCTCCATCAGTCTTTTCATATCTACTTTGATGTACTGTGCTCAACTGCTGTGGCCAACCATACCCTCAGCCTCACTAGGATTTCTGTATTTTTCCTCTATTTTTAATTCTATAGCTTCCCCATAATGGGAAGGATAGCTACAATTGGAGACTGATCTTTTAAAATGGTAGTAGTCTTTTTGGGATTCTTATTTCAAATAAACTCCTTTCTCAGTGGAAATATTACCACTCAGTGATTAGGGTTGGGCATAAAGGAGGTAGTATTTAAAAAGATCTCACTATAGATTCCAAAAAATTTGGTCTGCAGAAGTCTATAACACCAGTAAGTCAAATTATAGCAAGCATTTGGTATTTGGCCACAGCAAGGCATTTAGTCTATGAACTTTATGTTTTTAAGCTTATGGATGGAACACATTGATGAAGGGAGTCAAGACAGTAGAGGTGGTAATCAGATGATAAAGAAATCAAGAAAGAGCTGTATTGGTTTTAGGATTTTATAACATCCTTCAAGACCCGGATGTCTTATAATGTCTTGTAATGGCCTTTGCCTTCTGACTGTCCATTTACTAGTGATATGACCTTATATTTCAAGATAGGTTTTTAACAGATCTGATTTTTTATTACAATAAGTTGGTGAATTTTCTGAAAGGTTAATTAACACTGGAAGCTGTTGATTTATCCTTGTATGCCTATCACCAACTGGAAACACACATATACTGAAAGCACTGGGCTCATTAGTGGTTTATAAGGATTATATTTGGCTGATTATTGCTCATATATACTGAGGAAAATTATCACAGAGGTGTACCTGAGAAGAGATATACATGAAATAAGATATTCAATTAAGTGAAAAGTAATTAAACAAAGATAACTTTCTCTGATTGTATTGTCATCTATTTTCTTTTTATAAATATTATTTTGGCAAAATTTATTTTATTTGATATTTCACATAAGAGGGCACTTTCAGTGTAATTTAAATTATATATGATTTAGTTGTGTTTACTTTCATTTTGGGATGATTATCTTCTTTCTGAGGCACTATTATGAACAATAACTAGTTTTATATACTTCTGTTCTTTATTGTGATTAAATATTTTGAATGACATTACAAATCATTATGTTAGCACAGAAATTTAAAGAATTAAACAATTGATGGAATCATTTTATTTTCAACAATTTCTAATATTCAAGCTTCAAATATTCAGATATTACAGATATTTAAATATCTATAAAATACATTTATAAATATATAACATAATTATTTAAATTGTCATAATAATAATAAATTTCTATTATGTTTAAATTTTATAAATGCAAAAAAGTGTTTCTTTATACTTTGTGTAAAGTGAAAACATATGTTGGAAAAATCTCAAGGTAATGCTGATTGACCAAGCAGTCTACAAAGAGATAGTAACCCTAGAAACAATTACAAATTTGTAATGGTAATGGAAGGATTTTCAGAATAACCAAATCTCAGGATGAAACATATCTGTACATTGACTTTCTGAAAAACACAGTCCTTTGTTAATGATATCTCTGTGAATACACATTCAACACATCCCTAACTTTTGGATAAATAAATTTCTTCAGTCACATGAATGTCAGGCATTACTACATTGTATGTTAAATAATAATAATAATTGTGTACTTTTGGTATTATTCCCAAGCAATTTTCTTCATAGGCAGAGAAGCAGCTTTAAGAAATCAAACCACACTACATCATTCAGTGAAATTTACAGCAGATAAGTAACACAGAAACTTGAGAGAAAATGAAAGACAGAAAAATTACTTTTCTCAAAAAAAATCTATGCTCATCTAAATCTTAAATCATGTATTCTTTTCCCTTTGTATCATTCTTGATAGGGTTCTTAGAGAAAAAAAATGGGTTAAAGTGACTGAGCTTCACTGTCAAGAGAAACCTATGGTCAGAGATATATCGAATTCCCAAAGCTTTCATTATTAATATTTTATGAGTCTCACTGATCTGTCCTATCTAGAAGAAAAATTTATCTTTCATTTGTGCAAGAACTGCCTGCCGAGTAATAGATTTCGTGTCCATAAGCCGGGTGGCAAAATGCAAACAGCAGCAAAGGTAGGATGAAGCAAAGTGTTCACTTTATTTCTTTTACTCGAGTCTGGCTGCACTTTACTGGAGTTGCAGAGTCAGCCAAGCAAAATGAAAGATCTTTGGGGAACTCTGAAAGACTGTCAGCTCTGGGCCAACATACTTTGGCCGGCACACGTGAATGCCCATATGTTTAAGCTGACTTCTAAAGGTGATGATTTGCTATGGTGACTTTTTTTGTTGTTAATGTAACTTAAACGTTTACAAGAAAGTTTGGTGCCTACAACGTTGGCAGCTCATTTACTCAATAGTGAAAACTGTCTTCCTTACAGATGAGATGACTAAACACAAATTGATGATCTTCGAACACTTTGGACTGAAAAGGCAAGAGTTTTTGCCTCTTGGTAGAGTGTGGCTTGCCTCAGCTGAGCTAAGATGCCATGTAGGCTCATCTATGACACTGGACCTAAGTATTTCCTGGACAGTATTCATCTACAGAAAAATAAAACAGAGAAGGGAGGTCCAGGACACTCTGTCACAACACATTGGGTGTCTACCTGTTAGGTCCCCTTAGACCTCAGGTCCGTCTGGATTCATAGGAAGTTGGAGGATGATTCCTCCATGTGGTAGAAAAAATAATTTCTGGAGAAGTGTATTTAGTGTAAAGTCAGGAAAACAAACAAACAGACAACGAGAAAAATAATCTCCTGATTTAGGGGAGGTGGGTGGGGAATGGGGTAACTGGGTGATGGGTAATGAGGAGGGCACTTGATGGGATGAGCACTGGCTGTTATACCATGTGTTGGCAAATTGAATTTAAATTTTAAAAAATGTAAAAAAAAGAAAAATAATAAAATATACATTGTATACCAAAAAACCCTCTTGATTTTGAATGTTTTCCTTTGCTTGAAAATAAAGATTTCAAAACTACATGAAACAACTGAGCTTCTTTTCTTCAGAGCTCTTACCTCAATTTCTAATTACATATTAACTAGTAGGATTATTTAACATCTTTCAGATCTCTTAGAATAAAAATTAAACCCTGTTCATTTTGGTGCACAATGGTATTCCCAGTGTCTTGTACACTGTTGGCAGGCAATAGGTGTTCAGTAAGTTTTTACTAAAAGATTTGCATATTTTTCATTTTCATCAGTGCCTACTAGCATGTTTTACGTAATAATCCTTAATGATGTTTTCAGTGAGAGTAATGATTTATTCAAACTGCAGCCACAGGTTATAAATTCATATAAAGCACTATGTTAGAAATAAGTTGATACTAATTAGTCTAAGATTAATTTCTGGGAAAAAAAATTTCTGGGGCTCAAAGAGTTGACCATCTAGTTGAGGGATAAAGTATATGCGCAAGAATCATATAAAATGTGAATTATTAGTGACAAAAGAACATATTAGCTGTAATTGCTTTTTTGTCTTTTTAATTAAAAACATTTTTTTATTAGCTGTAATTGTAAATAGGTATCAGACACACAGAAATGAAGGCACGTTCCTGATAAAGAGAACTCTAGGAGCAAATACTTTGGAATCAAAAGGATATAAACCACAAATCATAAAAGGTGTGGTTTAAGGTGATACAGCTTAGAATGACCAATAAGAAAACACCACCCTGGTCTAAAAGAGCCATCTAAACCTCCTTCTCTCATTGGTTTGTTTAGTTTTTATAGTAGAAGCACACATGATTCCCATGAACTGAAAGGATCCGTAATTCAACACTCATGCTAATATAATATTACCAGAACTGTTTGAGAATGTTTCTTTTCTCAAACTCCAGCTGGTATCTTGTTTTTATCTGATCTCCTCTTGTGATTTAAGTATCTTTTGATATCTTTATTCTCTCTTCTTTATATTTCAGTTCTTTTCTTATTCTCATTTTCCCTAATTTGTTTGCTTAACTCCTTGGCATCCTCCCCCAGACTCTATACATGGGAGTGGAATAATTAGTTATTTATGGAGAAAAGTAGTCATTTGTAGATACTCCCTAGCTGAGTAAAATTGTTGCTTGTTGTTACCCATCAGTGCATTTACTATACCAATAGTTTCAACAAATGATTTTTTTCCCATTAAAATTATTTCAAGCACATTTCTGAATAATTTTAACTAATTCAGTACTTGTTTAAACCTTTGTTTTCCCAATAA